GTGTTCAGAATGGTTTGATCCCTATCCAGCTGAATTCCTGAGAGGAGACGAAATCCAGGTCTCCTACTCCTCCGCCATCTTGCTCCGCCCCCACACCATTAGTTTTTGATGTAGTGTTCCACGATTCATTGTTTGCGTATAACACCCAGTGCTCCGTGCAGAACGGGCCCTCCTTAGTACCCATCACCAGGCTAACCCATCCCCCCCACCGCCGTCCCCTGAACTTTTTCTTAATAGTGAGTAGCAGCGCTGTAAACATCCGTGATGATCCTCTGTCTCTTTGGGTTTGTGAATCTAGGCTAGAGAGGTGTATGGAGCCAGTTTTGCAGTTGTGAGTAACATGCAGGTCAGAGGATGAGGTGAGGTAGTCGAGGGAAAACCGGAGATGAGAGCAGTAGTCAATATGTAAAAGATGACTGGATAAATCTGTGATCTTATTGATTTATAGACAAATCAGTAGACAAACTATTGTGACAAATCAGTGGATTTGAAGGCTCTGTTTCTTAAGATAGTTTATGGGTAAATAGGAACTAAACAGCCTTATATTGGAAGAAAAGAATTATGGGAACTCTGTCAGTTTAATTCCAGGTAAGTGTTATTTTTGTTACTTTTATATCTTATACTTGAGGTTTCGCATGAGTCTGCAAGTGATTCCAACAGTTGGAAATAGGCTGTTTGGTTTCGCTCGTATCGCAGTCATACTTGGATCCTCAGCACTGAGCCCTGTGCCAGACACGTCGATGCTGCAGACTTGTTTGAGTCGTGATTCCTTCTTCCCTGTAGTAAGTTAGAAGGGGGACCTTAGTAACTGTCCGTTATCCTCAAGGCCTGGGACAATAGCTCACATGTTATTGGTACTTGATAAAAATAAACCTTAATTTTGCCACCACTGAGAAAAGCATCCAGTTCACAGCAAGCACCGACATATGTTATCTAGAGGCTGCCACAAACCTAATGTTTCCAAAGGCAAAGGGAGCAAATCATCCGTGGCTAGAAGTTCAGTCCCGGTTCGCAGTGGAAGCTGGGCTGGAAAGGTTTTTGGGTTCAACGATGGCTGAAGTGGAGAGCAGAAGAAGGAAAGGCTGGTCCAGAAGGCAGACTTAGGAAGGAATGAGGCTAAAAGGATTGTTTTCTGGCATTTTGAAATTTTCTAAATGTAAACATTCCATATGCAAATAAACTCTGCTTCATGTAAAAAAAAAAAACCCTTAATTGATGATTTTGCCTTTCACCTAAGTTTCTTTTTCAGTTTTCTGAAAGAACATGCATACGTTTATTAGGTTAAAAATACACACATACCTAGCACTGTGGATCCAAAAGGAGTGGTGGGAGGGAGATGGGGTTATGTCACTGTGGGATGTGTGGATGCAGATGTTCACAGTGCACACGTCTTTCCCATTTGGAGAAATCTTTCCTTAAGGTGTAGTCTTGCCCCGCTTCCCCCACTGTGCCTGCCCTCCCTTTATAACCCACTGTGAGAATCGCATCTGTGGTCAGCCACTGCTACTAATGATGGCGGTGGGACTGGGAAGAGGTGAGAACTATGGCTTTGACCAGTCTACCCTTGGAACTTAGAGAAGCTTTTCTGTTTTAGATGCAGTGTGATTAGATGATTTTGTTTGTTTGTTTCTTTCTTTTTTAAGTTTATTTTTTTTTAGTAATCTTTATACCTGACATGAGGCTCGAACTTTTGGCCCCAAGATCAAGAGTCCCATGCTCTTCCGACTGAGCCAGCCAGGCACCCCGTAGATGATTCAGTTTCTTGAGAGTAGAGCATAAGTTTGACTTGCCTTGGAATTACCTACTTCTTTCACTTAACAGATGGCTATAAATGCGAATTAACTTGAAAATTTAATTGTTTTTTATAGTCTTTGTGCTATTTAAAATTAATGTGTTTATTCTGGAGATGATAAAGTTAATCATTAAGATGAGATACCTTTACAGAAAAGGTGAAATGGGTCATCAAATACTGAATTAACCTGTTTGAGTTCCTTAAATCATTTTTTATTGTCATGATTCTCAACTTGGTGAAATTTATGAACCTCTTTTAAAGAAAACTAAATGTAGTGAACTCCCAGACTATATCAAAAACTCCAGCTTGAAAAACACAAGCTAAACAAGGCTTAACTACTTAAACCTTCTTTCAGTTATCATGATATGGTGACATTTGATCTTTCTTTGCTGATAAATTAATTTTAACATAGGAACAGAGGAGGGTACTGAAATTGCATGGCATAATTTGGTGGTAAGGTAGTCTTCCAGATGATCCAGGATCTATTTATGCTGATGTTTTTAGACCCAGCTAGCATTGAAATAAAGATAAAAATTTGAAAACTTGGAACCCTTAGGCTACATCTTTGTACCCCTCTCTGTACAGTCACCCCTGGAAATACACTTGGAAAACACTTGCAATCACAGTGTACAAAGGGCTCATGCCAAGACGAAAGTGATAAGGGATGGGCAGGTAGTGGGACTTCAGCTGGTTTTGGAGAAAGTGGTAACTACCTACCTTTCCCTTTCAGCTCCCTTATAAAAGATGCTTCTCCTGTTCCTCTGATTGATGTTACAAACCTTCCTACTCCTCGAAAATTCCTTGATACCTCTCAGTTTTCTACTCCTGGAAGCTCAAGTGGTAAGTATTTAATTCTTTAGCCACTCACCTTCTTTTCATAATGTTGTAGTTCCTCAGCAAAGACCTGGGGAAATCTGGGGGGTCAGGGCTGGGAGGTCCTGAGATTAGTGCCTTGGAGCCTCTGATGAGCTCTGTGCCACCCTCAGAGGGAGTAAGATAGAAGATGACTGGTTGGGCCTGTTGCATTATCAGCTTTTAAACTGGCAGCTGAATCTGGCCTGCCTCCTGAATCCAGATGTAGTTATGCTTTATTTGATCAGAACTGTTGGTTTTTCTGAAGTTGAATTTGAATGCTTTTTGATGCAGAGAGTCTCTCCCCGCCCGCCCACCCCACTCTTGTTTCTGTAGCTGCGGTACATGTTACATGCTCTGTCTGGTGCTTGAGAGCTTCTGAGTGTGTGCTCTAGATCCTGTGTCCTCTACACGGATACCTTGTACCTTCCAGCGCCGTCCCCACTTACACATGTGCCCGCATGTGGGTGTGCGCATGCACACATACAATGTACTTTGAGATCATATCCACAGACTAGCCATGTTTCTTCTTGGGCTACATAGTGTTCTGTTGAATAAGAGCCATTTTGGCCTATATTTAAAGTTGGAGAGGGAGGGTATGCTTTGAATCTGAACGCAGATTTAGGGGATTTCTTCAGGAATGGCTCAGACTGGCTGTCAGAAGGTTCAGCTGAACTTGGCTCAGATATTCTCTGGGCCTCTGCAAAGAGCCTTCAACTATTGCAGCGCTGGGTTGAGGAGAAGGCGGTGGGATGTTTTTCCTGAGAGGACCCATAGGTGCCTTTGTGTCACAGCTAAAGTCCTCAGTACCTTTTAAGGAATGAGTAAAGTTGATTATCGTTGGCTTCGCAGGTATAAATTAGTTCTTACAGTTCTTTTCTAGTTCTATAGTCCTGTAGAGCTTGAAATAATGAAAAAGTGGAAAGGTAGAAATATAATTTGGAGTCAATCAATACATTTTGTGTACCTAGTTGAAAGTGTTTCTTTTGAGAGCCTCACTATATATTGTTGTTGCTGAGGCACATTTAATTATTTTATAATATCATTTAATTAAGTTTAAGGGTTACTTAGGCTTGGAATCTTGAGGTTTATTGCTTTTACTATAGGAAAAGTGTAGAAATTATTTTGTAATAGATTTTATTGTTAGTCTATTTAATGATTCAAAAAACCCCACAAAAACAAAATACTCAGAACACTTATGTTTATTATGACACTTTATAAGGTTTGTACTCAAGCCTCTTCCTGGAGCTAAAAAGTTTGCTTTGTCCTTCTTGCTGACGTAGTGTTGCGATTCTTTGAGTTTTGACACTTCTTCGAGCTGTTGTAGAGTGTGGAAGTATGAAACACCATTTATATTTATACTTTGTAATTCACCTCTTCCTCCAGGAGAAATTATCAATTGTTATATCTTCGTGATTTTATAGCGTGAGCCATCGTTGCTTACCTTCGTTATAGCAATTTAAGTAAATGTTGCCAAGTCAATGGCCAAGTGAAATAAAAATTTTAATTGTTTATGAAGAAATGATAGGGCAGGCGTTTTGCAAATGAAAAGCACTGTGTAAATGCCAAGTAAGTTGAAAAAATGCCAATTATGGCAAATTTCAGTAGAAACTAATTTTGCTACATCTATTATTTTTAATAAGACAGCTTACTCTTTGATGGGCACTTCTGTCAGGCCCTGTAGTTAGCATTTCTCACTTCGTGGAGTTCACGGTGACACTTTGCCTTTGGCAGTCTGTTCCTTCATTATTGGGGATGACTCTTGAAGAGCCGCGTGATAGTTGAGTAGAGGTGGGACCATCATGGGGACTGCTTGTACATAAGCTACAAACCTTTCTTTTTAGAAGGGCTCATTCCTTTGACTGTTTAAGGCTGTTGATCTCGTGATTTTTCTGTGGGTGACCGAAAGAGATGGTTGAAATATTACTGATTGAAATGCAGTAGGTAAGGTGTGTTTCGTGCCTACCATATGTAAAACAGTATTTTAAGTGCTTCGCATGAATTAGCTCAGTCCTTTAACAATCTTTGTAGGTAAGTACTATTCTAATAGCTCCATTTTACAGATGAGAAAGCCGGGGCCTAGGGGGGTTAATAATTGGTTTAAGTTGACACAGCTGACAAGGAGTAGAGCTGTCATTTCAAGTAAGGAGCTGGGTTCCAGAATGCACTCTTCTAACCAGTTTTTTTTTTTTTTCCTGCAAAAAAGCTAGGTATGCTCTGGGTTATTAGTTTTCTCTTGTTGCCACAACAAATTGTGACAATGTAAATTTATCATCTTACAGTTTTGTAGGTTAGAAGTCCAGTATGGGTCTGATTGGGCTAAAATCAAGGTGTTGGCATGGCCGTGTTCCTTCTGGAGGCTCTACAGGAGAGTTCATTTCCTTGCCTTTCACAGCTCCTAGGGGCTGCTACTTTTCCAGATTGTTGCCCTCTTCCTCTGTCTTCAAAACCAGCGACAGTGTGTCACATCCTTCTGGGGTCACATCTCTCTGACCCACCCTTCTGCCGCCTCCTTCCTCTTTTAAGGACTCGTGTGATTAGATTGATTCCACCTGGGTAATTCAGGCTACTCTGCCAGTTTAAGGTCCTTAACCTTAATCACATCTGTGAAGTCTCCTTTGACACGTGACATATTCACAGAGTCTGGGGATTAGGACATGGATATCTTTTGGGGACCGTCATTCTGCTTACCATATTCTGCAGTGCCTATTTTCTGACTTGAGTTATCTTGAGGAGCCAATATATAAAATTTTGACTTTCTTGAAATTATGTGTGAAGTCTTTTTAAATCATTGCAGTTCCAGTCTTAAGAACTATATTAATCTGGGTCACATTATTAAAGGGGGTTGTGTAAATGTGGAAGATGTAAATTATGTAGAGAACTGGATAAATGTTACTAAGTACGTATAAAAGTGAGGCTGATGAAATACACTATAAATAAAGGGCAGATATTTTCTTATTCTTAATGAACAGTAAGTCCTAAGAGTGTTTTTGTGAAGTGCCCTGCAAGTCAGCCTTGAAAGTAATAGTCATTTTCAGCCAGGAATTTAACATAGGCTTTTAAAACTCCCCTCTCATCTTGTGAAATAGTAGGATGGAGGGTGTAATCCATTAGAACTGACATTTTTATAGAGAAAGTTCAAATAGAGAATCCCTGGATAGAACAGATCTCTCATTAGGGTGCCATAAATTTAGGTTGGAGGTGACTCCTGAGGACATTCAGATTATTATTAATTAAATAAGCATTTTGATTGTTTGCAAATGAGTCATTTTTCAAATGTCTTCTTTACAGGTAGAGGTGTGAGTGACTTATCTGTGAGATTTTCTATTATAGTTTACATGTTATGGTTTGCAAGACATGTTCCATCATTCAGCTGATGGCAGCAGTCCTATGAGGTAGTTATGGCAGGTACTATTGTCATTATCATGATGATTATTTTTATATCTATCCCATTTCAGTCTGTTAAATACTTAAGTTATAAAAGTACAGAACTATAGATGTGTATGCACCATCCAATTAAAAAATATTTAATTACAAAATTTAAAATCAAGGCACAGGTTGGCAGAAGCAAGAAACCCATTAAGAGAAAAATGATTAGCATCCATTTAGCTTTCCTACACATTAGTGAGGAAAAGAAATGGCATCTTAAAGAACTGGACAAATGATGGGCAGTTTACAGAAGAGTCCATATACGTAAATGCCAAGACTGGCATTTATCCAACAGAGGTTAAGTATCCAGAATATATAAAGAACCCCTGTAAATCAATCAAACAAGTTAATAAGCAAAAATATGCAAATGTAAACTATTAAAAAATAGGCATAAACATGAATAGGCAGTTTGTGTAGTAAATATATGAAATATTGCTTATATACTCTAGTTACTAATCAGGTATTATTTTTAAAACTCACTTTATAAATATATTCCATCCACAGAGGTTGAGTGATCAGTCCAGGTCCACCAGATGGTGATTGCTGGAAGGTAGCCTCATGCTGTTCCCACTCTAAATAAGTAAGAGATGTATTTTGCCAGCCTTTCTCCTATTTCTCATCAGTCATAGTATTTTGTAATGTACAGGAAACTAATGTCTAATTTAGATGTAGTAATTCAACTATAACTTAGGTAAAAGGATGGGAGAAGTGTGGAGAAAAGCCAATAATTGTAGTAACATGTTGGTTTAAGCTTTTGGATTCCCAGTATGTCCTTTCATTTGGCAAACTGCCTTTGGAACGTTTTGACTGAGCAATTACTCCTGGGGTACACAAGCATTTCATTTGTGGCTTCTTTATTCATTTTATGCGTGCTCCTGCTGGGATTGCTGTGAATATAACTATAATGAAACTGGACTTCTTACTTCCTTTCTTTTTGGTACCAGCATAGGTTAAGCAATAAAACCTAAAGAGAGCACAAATTAAATGATTGTTTTTTCTTTTGCTGCTGTTTTCTCATGTGCATTTTATTTCATAAAGTCTTGTTCTGGGACTTGATACTTTTCTTAAAAATTTAGGATTTGATATTTAAATTCTCTCTACATGGAGTGGGAGCTATGAATCCTAACATAAAAGGAGATGAAATTTTTCTGCTTGCAACTCACATGTCTAGAATAGTGAAAGTTCTCCAAAACAAGGTGATACCTTTTGAGGTACTTCTGTCCTGAGGTTGGGGCCTCCCTTGGCATTTTAAATCACTTGTTCCGAAAAGTATCCTTCTTTTGCTGTTAAGTGTCTTGGTTGATTTCTATGATTAATCGTAAGTAGAGCTGAGGACTGTATACAAGGGAGTCAAAATGGAATTAATGGTTCAGATGTTTATAAATGTAAAAATAAAGCAAAGCCAGAGTTTGTTAGTTAAAATACATTTATTAAATATGAATATTATATTCATATATTGGAGATGAATATAACCATCATTATGTACTTTAATATTAATAAATCTTAATATTTTTCCATATTTGATTCAGATTCTTTAAAAAAAATTTACGGGTACAATT